CCTCCTTCTTTGCCTGTACATGCGTGCGGACAATATGCTGTACACACTGTACTAGGCCAGCTGAGAGTCAATCACAATCGAACGGGTTTGAGAGGTAAATTTTCTATGACTTATTTTTCGACAGCTCTGCAGGTGTTTTTTAGTTTTACATCGACTCGACAGAACTACCTCAGGCGTTCTACTATTTGCCAAAAACTACAAAACAGATCTTGAGGTACGGGAACTATTTGCAAAGCAAAATATTACTTTCTTCTCTTCTTCAGTTCAAAAAGACGCTGAAAGATGGAAATTGGTCCAAGGAATACGTTTGCATGGTTGATGGCGTTTTTCCTGAGTAAGACTTTCCCTTACACTTCAGCAAGTTCATCTCAGCTGATTTTCATTTGTTTCAGTGAAGAGACTGAATGCAATGAATCTATCGGCACTCTGGTCGTTAGTATGGGCATCCAATGTGTGCGTCCAGATGGCAAACCAGCTCGAAGTCGGTTCAGAAAATTGTGGTCTGACGGAAAGCACTCCGTCCTTTCCGTGAATTTATACACAGGGCGAACACATCAAATTCGTGTACACGCTCAGTTTTTAGGTGCTTAGGATTTTTTGCTCTTATATGATCGCACAATAATGAGTCAGCCATTCCTAGGTTACCCAATTGTTGGCGATCGCATTTACAATTCTTCCGTTTGGGGACCCCAGAAAGGGAAGGGGGCTGAATATGGAAAGTCTTATGAAGAGGTACATTCATTTGTATTCATAGCTATACTTTTCCCACCAGTTTGCAAAACCATCACTACTGCTCAAGCTATGCGATGATGTACGGGAAGCACATCGTGGTTCAAATTGGCATGAGATTGTAGATCCAGAATATGAAACGAGGCTGGAAAAAATGGCTGGTACAGAAGTGAGTTCTTGTTGTTTGCTTATTTTTCAAAAATAAATTTGAGCCTATATGTACAGAACATATGATTCTTTCACTCACGGTTGGCTCAAAATATCAACCCAACATATCTTAGTTGTTTTTCTTTTTCAAACCTTTTAATTTTTGAACAACCTGGAATTTCCTCTACAAAAAAACTTTGCTGCATGTTATTTGGCTTTCTGTGAGAGAATCCCTTAAAAAATTATATTATTAACTTAAATGCCAAATAGACATGCCGGTTGACTTTGGCTATATGCTTCAACTTTCACTTTCAACAGAGAACAAAATCTCATAAAATAATTATTATTACCTCTAAGACAAAGAAAAATTTCTTTTTGTCCTCAAGGTTAGTATAGAAATGCAGTCAAGTCCAAGCAAGCATTTAATGTTGGTATACCTTAATAGATTTACAATACTGGTTTACCATAAAAATAGAAGTCTGAGATCTAAGACAATAAATAACAAATGTCTTAAGTTACTCGCGTTTAGTTGGCATTCATATAGAATGCAAACCGCAGAATCAATCAAACTCCATATACAATGTCACCATTTAAAAAGATCGACATTATAAAGAGATGTCATCTATTTCGATCACGTTAGCTCTTAAGGAATGTTGCATGAATATGGATGCACATTTTCTTTCATAATCGTAAGTGCCACTTCAGTCATAACTTTGCATAACCGAAGTGAAGCGGATTGGTAGAAGAGCTGCTTAGACTGGACAAGCTTAATTTTACACTTTGCACCCGACTTCACGTAACCCAATATCTTTGTCCATCAAGAACAAATTTATTCCAGCTAGATCCAGAACCATACGACTATGACAGCACAAATCGTCCAACCTACGATCCTATTTGTTTGAACTGCC